TGCATTTCCTTCGTGGCTAGTTTTTTGTTTTTGTTTTTGTTGGGGGCCGGGGTGGCGGGGGGGGGAGGGGTGGTGCACATTTCATGGATTTGAACAAATATATGACATGTATTCATCACTGTGGTATAATACAGACTATTTTCACAGCCCTAAACGTCTGTTGTGCTCCATTTATTCATCCCTCTCCCCCAACCCCTGGCAACCACTGATGTTTTTACTATCTCCATAGTTTTGTTTTTCCAGGAATCAAACAATGTATAGCCTTTTCAAATTGCCTTCTTTCACTCAGTATGCATTTAAAATTTTTTCTTATCTTTTCATGGCTTGATAACATTTTTTTTTTTAGTACTGAATAATATACTCCATTGTCTGGATATACTACAGTTTATCCATTCACCTACTAAACAACATCTTGGTTGCTTCCAAGTTTTGGCAGTTACAGTAAAGCTGCTATAAACGTTTGTGTGCAGGTTTTTACGTGGACATAAGTTTTCAGCTCCTTTGACTAAATAACCAGGAATGTGATTGCTGGATTGTATGGTAAGAGTGTTTAGTTTTATAAGAAATCCCCAAACTGTTTTGCAAAGTGGCTGTATCATTTTGCTTTCCCACCAGCAATGAACGAGAGTTCTTGTTGCTCCACATTTTTGCCAGTCGTCTGTCAGTGTTCGAGATTTGGGCTGTTTTAATAGGTATATAGTGATATAGCTAATTTGCATTTCACTGATGACATATATGTAGAGTATGTTTTCATATGCTTGTCATCTGTATATCTTTGGCGATGTGTCCATTAGGTCTTTGGCCAATTTTTAAATCGGGTTGTTTTCTTGTTGAGTTTTAAGAGTACTTTGTATAGTTCGGATAAAAGTGCTTTATGGGATGTGTATTTTGCAAATATTTTTTCCTAGTTGCAGTTTGTCTTATTCTGTTAGCATTGTCTTTTGCAGAGCAGAAATTTTTAATTTTAATTAAGTCCAGCTTATCAATTCTTTCTTTCATGGATCATGCCTTTAGTGTTGTATCTAAAAAGTCATACTCATATCCAAGGTCACCTAGATTTTTTTTCTATGTTTTCTTCTAGAAGTTTTATAGTTTTTCATTTTACCTTTAAATCTGATTTGTTTTGAGTTAATTTTTGTGAAGGGTGTAAGGTCGGGGTTTAGATTAATTTTTTTGCATGTGGATGTCCAGGTGTTCCAGTACTATTTGTTGAAAAGATTCTGCTCTATTGTATCGCTTTTGCTCCCTTGTAAAAGATGGGTTATGTGGATCTATTTCTGCGCTATTCTGTTTCAATTGATCTATTTGTCAGTCCTTTTACCAATACCACACTGTCTTAGTTACTGTAGCTTTACAGTAAATCTTGAAGGTAGGTAGTATCAGTCATCCAGCTCTGTTCTTCAATATTGTGTTGGTTATTCTGGGTCTTCAGTCTCTCCATATAAACTTTTAAGTTCGTCAGTATCCACAAAATAACTTGCTGGGGTTTTGATTTGGATTACATGAATATATAAATTAAGTTGGGAAGAACTGACATCATGACAATATTTAGTCTTCCTGTCCATGAACATGAAACATCTTTCTGTTGATTTAGTTCATTGATTTTGTTCTTCAGAATTTTGTAGTTTTCCTCATATAGATTTTAGGCATATTTTGCTAGATTTATACCTAAGTATTTTATTTTGGGAAGGTTAATGTAAATGATACCGTGTTTTAGTTTTCAGATTTCACTTATTCATTGTTCATAAAAAGGAAAGCAATTGATTTTTGTATATTAACCTTATACTCTTTAACCTTGCTGTAATCACTTATTTTTACAGAAGTTTTTTGTCCATCTTTTGGATTTTTCTACATAGGTGATTATGTCATCTGATCAAAGACAGTTTTGTTTCTTTCTTCTCAATCTGTTGGCCTTTTTTTTTTTGCCTCTTGTCTTACTATGTTAGCTAGTATCTTCAGTATGATGTTGAAAAGAATGGTGAGAGTGGACTTTCTTGCCCTATTTCTGATTTTACTGGGAAAGCTTTGAATTTATCATGGTTAAGTATGGTGTTAGCCATAGGTTTTTTTTGTAAGTATCCTTTGTCAAGTTGAGGAGGTTCCCTTCTATTCCCAGTTTACTGAGAGTTTTTATTATGATTAGATGTTGGTTTTGTCAAATGCTTTTTCTGCATCTATTGATTCGATGATATGATATTTCTTTTTAACCCGTTGATGTGATGGATTACATTAATTGAATTTCAAATATTGAACCAACCTTACATACATGGGATGAATCACAATTGATCGTGGCATATAGTTTTTATACATAGTCGGATTCAATTTGCTAATATTTCATTAAGGGTTTTTGCATCTGTTTTCATGAGAAACATTGATCTGTCATTTTCTTTTTTTGTAATGTCTTTGATTTTGATTTTAGGGTAATGCTGGTCTCATAGGGTGAGTTAGGAAATATTCCCTGTGCTTATAACCTCTGAAAGGGATTGTAGAGAACTGGTGTAATTTCTTCCTTAAATGGTAGAATTTACCAATGAACTCATCTGTGCCTGGTGCTTTTTCTTTTGAAATATTATTAATTATTGATTCAGTTTCTTAAATAGATACAGGCCTATTCAATTGTCTATTTGTTTGAGTTTTGGCAAATTGTGTTTTTCAAGGAAGCTGTCTATTTCATCTAGGTTATCAAATTTGTGGACATAGAGTTGTTCATGATATTCCATTATTATCCTTTTAATGTCCATGGGATCTGTAGTGATGTGTCCTCACTTTCATTTCTGATATTAGTGATTTATGTCCTTTTTTTTCCTGATTTTGGGCTTATTGATTTCCTTTTCAAAGAACCAGCTTTTGGTTTCATTAATTTTCTCTATTGAGTTCCTGTTTTCAACTTCATTGATTAGCGCTCTAATTATTATTGGTTTTCTTCTACTTACTTTGAATTTAATTTGCATTTCTTTTTCTAGTTTCCTAAGAGCTAATGCTTTTTAAACATTTTTATTTGCCTGGAGCATGGATTCTTTTAGAATATAAACCAATATTTCATGGGTGTTATGGTAATTAAATACTGAACTTTTACATGTGTAATTTCCTATGTGTATTCATATACTATTTTTTGAAATTCTTCTTATTTATTCATGAGAAACTAGAGATTTTGGCTGACTTTAAGTGCCATTAGCAGAACCTGTAATTGTTGGTAATTAAATGCTTTATGTTGATTTAAGAATACCTTTGAGTGGCCAAGCTAGGGAAATGGAATTAAAAAATTAACTAGTATATTACCCAAATTAGGGATGATTTTTCTCCTTCCTTTCCCAGAGTATTTTGCCAAGTGCTTGCATTACTTGTATAATGGGTAAAATTTATGATCAGAGGAGACCCAAGTGAGGAGAGGGACAGTCATCTTTGCTGGGAATGGCAGGTAAAGGCAGGTATTTACCTGGTACATTTTGAGAGCACTTAAGGACCTACAAGATAAGTTATTGAACTTTTTTTTCCTTCTGTTTTTTAAATTGAGGTTATCCATTCTTTAGCTCTGCCTTTTGAGTTTCACTGAACAAGAGTAGTTTTAAAAAAATATTTTATTTCTAACAGATTGAATTTATTCATATTTTGGAGGACAAGATAACCCAAATAAACGAACAAAAGAGATGAAATTGTCATGCTAATAGAAAATACTTTTATGGTTCTGTCCGTATTAAGAGGGTTAAAGATTTTTTAAACATTGTTTCATGTCAATAATATATTTTTTGTAAAAACATCTTTGTATGGCATGATAGGTATTTTTTAAATATGATTTTTTTTGTTTGTACTAAAAGTATCTGAAAAGTTAGTATTTGTACAGAGCACTTTAATCAGCCTTGTAGTAAAATCACACATACGTAGGTTGTTAAATGGCAAAGAACAGCTTGTGCCGATGAGCCCAAATGAAACTGTTCTCTTTTACTAGAGTTAACTGGCTTATGTAAAGATTCTGGTTGATATAATTTCTCTTACCTTTACTTACTCACATTTGGTTTTTAAGATTTAATGTGATGGCCCCTGGCTCTGCACATACTTGGCTTTGCTAGCAAATTATGTAGCTTTCGATATTATTTCAGATAATATTTGGAATAACATAAAATATTACTGTTTTTGATATTAGGTCATTATTTTTAAATAATGTTCAAAAGTAATACAGTATTTAATATTCGTCATATTTACCAGGCTATTTCTGAGTTACTTGATATTAAAAAACAAGCCTGAAGATAAAATCATCTTTTCTTATATATTCAGATAACTATTGTAGGGTTCTTCGATAATGTTATTTTGCTTGAATGTTTAAAATATTGTTAGCTATATCAAATTACAGTCCATGTTTAAAAATAGAAAACTTTTTTGCACAGTAGGTATTCCTAAAGAAAGGATGAGCAAAATATATATGTTATGTTGAACACCCATAGCACCTGAGACAAGTGTGTGTGTCCCTTAATGTTTGTTATTTATTTATTAAATACTAAATAGATTAAGAAGTTATAGACTAAATTGAGTTTTTTTTTAATTCCACTATAAATGATCACCTATAGGGACTGATCAGAAGGCTAACATCCTTGGAAGAAAAATTGAGAGAGTTCTAAAAAAGTTTGAGGGGTGCGCTGAGGCCAGGGATCTAGAGGTACCCTGTGGGGAGCATGTTAAGAATATTACTGATTGACTCATTTTATTTGCGAGCCACCTGCCTGTATGAAATACTTTAATATTTTTAAATTCCTCATTATTTTATATTTCACAGGAAAGTGAATCTTTATAAGGTCGGTGATGCTTGTACTGCTTTTACTGCTGTTATTACTTTGCTTTTTTTTCCCCTCTAGAGTAATGTAGTTTTAATCAGTAAACATCTTAATTATCATTCTATACTATTTAATACCCAGTTTGGCATATTATTCTGATTCTGTTATCTGCATAGTAAATATGATTGACTTCATAAGAGTCACAACAAATAACTGCTTTTCTTTCATTCCTAGGCAAATACTGTGGTCTCGGGTTGCAAATGAACCATTCAATTGAATCAAAAAGCAATGAAATTACAGTGCTGTTCATGAGTGGAATCCATGTTTCTGGACGAGGATTTTTGGCCTCATACTCAGTTATAGAGAAACAAGGTAATTTTCACTTTATACCAATGCTCCCACATTTTATGCTTTCTAAAAACAAAAATGGAATGTTTCTTTGAGTACCTGTTATCTGAGTTTGGAACAGAGTAGAAAGACCGAACAGTTAATAATATATATATAAAGTTGACAAATAAAATTAGATCAGTTTTTAGAAATCCAGAAATTAAAAATGTATTAACTTTTTATATAAAGTCCGTATACTTCCCTTTCCTTAATAGAGGAAATAGTGATAGTTTCACTTTTGTAATATTGGACACAATGATAACTTTTAAAAAGTCTGTCAATTATTGAAATGTATTATCAATTTAAAGCTTTATTATCCACATTTTACCATTTTATGATACTGTGTTAGAGACCATATTACCATTCTTAAAAAATAGCGTCTCATACCACCAGGAGTACCCTGAGTGCTATCTGAGATACTACAAAATAAGCATGTGATATTTTTACATTGTTAATGTTTAGAATAGGGGAAAAATTACAAGGCTATGAAGTAGAGTAGAATGCAAACTTTTTCTGAATCTGCAAGATAAAATGCAAGATTCGAATGAAATCTGTCTAAGTGTTTTAGCTACTTGGCATGTATTTGTTCCCTTCTGCTCTTAGGGGTACTATGGTGAGAATGCTTAAGAAGTTTCTCAAGGATATATCAAAACATTCATTTAAATTATTTTTATATTAAACAATGATTTATCTAAGTTGACCATTTAAAATAAAAAATTATGGGTTTTTTTTTTAATTGTATAAATGAGAAAATTGTCAAAAACCTCCTAGGTGTGGGCACTAGGAATGACTGAGGGCAAAACAGGCTTCCTTCTGAGCTGTGATAGGTTTGAGATAAATACTGTATGTATCATTAAAAGTTTCCTTTGGAATGTGAGAGGAGAGAGCTGTTCTTTGTGAGGAAGAATCTGCTTTCCCTTAGTTTCTAAGCTATGGAACAAGGTATGACGTCTAATCACTCAGAGTGTGAAAGAAAATTCATTTAGATGGAATATTAGAAAGAAAATAACTGGTTGAAACATTATGCTGATGAACAATTAATATTTTTGATAGAACCAGGAAAACTGAGGCAGTGTAATATTGTAGAAGGGGTACTAGATAGCCCTGGAATTAAAACCGGGTGACCTCTGGCCAGTCATTTCACCTCTGTGAGTGTCATCTGTAAATGAGTTAGTTGGGAGGACTAAATCCAATAATACACGTATAGTGTCTGTGGGTACACAACGTAATAGGCACAAAACAAATGTTAGTTCCCCTCTTTCACCGCTGTACACACAGGTACTCATTTTCCCCCACTCTTACCATCAAAACAGTAAGGTGAAAAAGAGTGAGATGATGATAGATTTTCATCCTTTTAATTTTACTTCCTGAAAGTCTTGGGTTGATAGGTGAGAGAATAGAAAATAAACATTTAATTTGCTGCTTATAAGTTTCTTGTCCTAATATAAGTTAAATTATTTGTTTTGCTTTATATTTGACCCTTTCTCTTTGTTACTTGACGTGAAGTTTTCTGGAAAATATTAAGAAAATGGTTCTTACGCTGGATATTTAAATTATGGATCTTTTTGAGCCACAGAAACTTGACGTCCTGCCTTAAAGTTTCTTAAGAATTGACAGTGATTTCAGATAACAGAATCAGTATGTTGTAGACATATATCTCTATGCCAAATTCCAAATGGCTGTGACATTATTTTAGATGAATCTTAGTTTCTAAAGTTTAAATATCTATCATAATTTGGAAGTTCTGTATAGTAAGACTTTTAAAACTCAAAACTCATAACCAATTTGGGAAGATCTCTCCTGAGGTGGGGTTTGTTTTTTGTTTGTTTGTTTGTTTGTTGTTTGTTTTTGCACATTCTTGTCCCATCCATCAAGCATTTGTTTAATTTGAGTGAACTGGCTAAATTCAAGAGAACACTGGTTGAATTTCTTACTACTTCTTGGGTGGCCTTTTATTCACTATTCTTATAATGATGCATTCATTTGAAGGGTGTTTGGCTTTGGTAGAGAGCCTCAGTTTGTTTCTATCTAGGAAATTTAGCTGCCACACTGAATTTTGTGAATATTTTCAAAGAACATCACTACATGCCCCAAGCTTAACAACCTAAGTTGAAGGTTTAGAGTATTTAGGACGATTGTGAAAAATGTTGTTTCAACAGCTTCTTCATTTTTTAAACTCTCATAAAGACTTGTTAAAGTTATAGGATATATTGTGGTAGAATCCTGATTCTGTGAGATAGACTAATTTTCATTACTTTGTGTAAAAGCCCATTGCAAAATTATATTCCCTTTAATGGCTTATTTCCTGCTATATGCTTGGCATTGAGAAAATAGCAGTAAATAACAGACACAATCACACCTTCATAGGTCTTACAATACAGAGTTGGAACAAGATATCAAACCCATGGTTACCTAACTATAGTTATGATAAGTAAAATGAAGGAAACATTCAAGCAATAGGAGGCCAGAGGAGTGGAAGATTGATAAAGAGCAAAGCTCTCCCAAAGAAGTCACTGTTAAGTTAAGAACTGAAGGATTAATTGGAGATTCCAGACAGACAAGAAAGTAAGAACATTGTAGGGGAAAATACAGAAGATGCAAAGGTCTCATGGTAGGAAGGAGGGATCAGAAAAGAAGCCAGCACAGCTAGGGTGGTATGAATGCATGGTGAGTAGGTCACATTATTCAAGGCTTTGTAGGAAATGTAAGGGTTTGAGCTTGACTAGATTTATGTTTTTGTTTGTTTTTATCTTCCCTGCCCTGTGAGGAGTGGGTTTGAAGAGATAAGAATAAATGTAGGGAGGTCAGTTAAGAGGCTGTTAGTGAAAACTGGATTATTAAGAGGTCTTGTTATGTATGTAATTCTAGAATTAGGCCAGTTTTTAAATCCTTTAGAATACGACATATATTCAACAAGAAAACATTACAAAGAATTAGGATTCATCCTACCCGAGTTTAAGTTGTGATAGGCGGCTTTGGACAAAAAGTAACCACCTTGGATGAAGCTCTGGACTGCTGTAATGCCTAGGTTGTATCTAGGGTAGTGTCTCTTCACTTTGTGTCTAGTTTTTATCTTCATGGTTTTATTCTTTTTTGTTACTTTTAATTATCTTCGAGCAGTAATTTCCAGTCTTTTCCATTATTAGTTATCTTTTTAATTTTTGTCTGTAAACCTTATTTTGAAAGATTGTGTCTTCCAGTGAAAGGTTAAGTTTTCTCATTTCCCCGTTGGATAGCAGGCAAAGATAGATATAAATATGTCAACACTTAATAATTATGGGAGGACTGAGACTTCTATTCACAGTTGGTATAATTCCTTAAAATTCTAACTAGATTTTCTGAAATTGAAATTTTCATCTGAAAATTGAAGGTGTATATGGACCTTCGAGATAGAATGTCATATTAGCAACCACTATTTAGAAATTCTGTAGAGGGAAACTCCTGCATTTCTGCCGGTCTTACTGAGAAAGGCAGAACCAGCCATTCTCAGTAACGCAGATCTTTTTTAATCTAGTATGCTGATAAATGCTACTGACGTTTTCATTCTGAAATATAGACTTTAAAACAGCATTTACCACTGGACCTGAAAAGCAAAGTTTTATAGGTCAGTGATCTAAATTCTTAGTTTTGAATCTGTTTACCATTGGCTAGTTTCCAGGAAAAGCTTAACATTTCTAAGATGATTCTGGGCAATGATTTTTTAAGTTATTTTAGTTTTAGAATAGTGAGCCCAGAAGACATAGCTGCATTTTCTTTGAAAGCTTCAAGTCCTTAAGGCATCTTCTATTTTTGCCATAAATTGGGTGGTGTGTGTGCGTGATTGAAAAGCAATAATTTGATACGCCTTTTGTGGAACATGAAATCACAGCTTAAAAGGTAATTTTTAAACCTTATTACTTTAGATTTCACCAATCCAGGATTTCGTAGTGGTCAGTCTACAGTTTGCCTTTTTTTTTTTTTTTTTTTCCCTTAACTATCTTTTTTTTTTTTCCTTAACATTTTATTTTTTTATTTATTTTTATTTTTCCCCCTACCCCCTATCCCTGGTCAGTTTGCCTTTATTTTTATGAGGAAAAATCATCAATGGTTTAAAATTTCATGTGAAATAAAATAATCCAATTTAGATATTAGTGTACTTCCTAATTGGAACTCATAAACACTTTTTCATTCATTGCCTGCTGACCCCTTAGAATTTGATGAAAGTGTGCTTAAGACTTGTGAACAGCTGGGCCTAGGAAATATTTCCATTTGACAATATTATTGTTGCTATATGCTAGATTATTTTTAGATTTAACACCAATAGTATAACAATTTTCTGATTGCCACATTCTTTAACCACATTTTTTTTGAAAATATTTTCCATTTCTTCCATCTTATATCAGATTATATCAACTTGTAAATGAAACCTAGGGCAAAATAGAGAACTCCTTTCTAATAGAGTCCAGATTTCGTAACTGGTATTTTTTTCTTCATGGAGTGTTTTTGGTTTTGAAAATAGAGCACGAATTCTTTAGATTGTTTGCTACCTTAATCGTACAGTAATTTTATAGACTCTTTTCTGTTTTGAGTACTACACTTAGCTAGGTTTCTATTTTTAGTTTTTCTGTTGTGTTCCTAATTTTTGTTACTGTTGTATCTGGCAAACATTTTTAAACTTTTAAACTTATCTAGTAAGATTTTATTAATAAAGTCTCAGTTTGCATGCATATTTTTAGATTTGTCCATATTTACACAAATTAATATATATAGTGTTTGTGTGCATAACATAGTACACATGTAGAAAAATATCTATTTTTGTGTCAGTTTGTAGAGCAAAGGTGCCGATGAGAGAAGTATTACCAATTTTGCAGAGGAAGAGTATTGATAAACAGAATCTGTTAAGATGGTGTTAACCTAAAGAGGCAGTTAAACTTACAGGATAGAGTTTATTCCATACTGACAGATAAGCTGAAGGACACCTTAATGATTTTATTTTTTTCTGTGTG